GGCGAGGGTGGGTCAGCAGAGGAGTGTTGGTCCAGGAACTCCCACTGACCAGGGACTGAAACCAAATCTCTGTATCCAATGACCCTCAGCCTCCACTTCCCCAGGGACCTTGTGGATAGGGCCAACCGTGGGGAGGGGGCGGTGGGGAGTGGGCGCTCATGACATAGAATTATGCCTCCAGTGCTGCCTCCATTTCTACCACCGTCCACATCCCTCCTGCTAACCATTGCCCTCTCCCTCCCTAGACTGTTCTAACAGAGTCTTGATGGAGTGATCAAGTGAGTTATCATCCAAACCCTGGCAGTTCTGAGAATGAAACTCACAAGGCATGAACAGGAGGCCCCAACCTGGGTGTATGTTTGGTCACCTTAATTCTAACAAGAAATGACTGTGACTGTCACCCGAGGCTTTACTGAATCTCTGTAAGCACAAAAACCAAGACCTGAGGCCATCGAATAACTTGCCAAAGCAAGTGAGTGAGAGCTGACTAGAAGGCTGGCATCCCCAAGGCTCTGGGACAAAATCCTTAACTGTCCATGGACAGCACTAATCAAAGTCCATAATGGCAGGGCAAAGTGAGGACAAAGGTGCCAGGGACCAGGTGAAGGGACTGAGAATGGGAGCTAGGGGTGAGCCCAGCCTCCCCACTTCTCAGACACAACTTTTCCCTATGTGTGGCCCCTGCATCTGGCCCTGGCAAACGCACCCATGCAAAGCCATTCAGGATGTCAGTTCATCCTTAAAATAACCCTGTCAAGAAACAGAGGTCCAGAGAGGTTAATTTACCTCTCCAGGGTCACACAGCTGGTTAAGAGCAGAACTCCGGCTAGAACGCAGCTTCTGACCCCCAGGCCAGCAGCGCTTTTGGCTGTGCCCCTGTGCTGCCCCCCACAAGGCCCAGAACAGAGCCCACGAAGCACTGAGCACTACCCACCATAGGGGCAGTGCTGCCAGGATGGCTCTGGGGGCTTCGGCTTCCTGCTCAGGAAGTTGCTCAGGGTGGGTCCATGGCGACCCAGGGGGTCATCAGGAGGCATGAACCTGGAAAATAAGCATGGGGGAACTATTAAGGCCAACTGGGACTGGTACCTGCATGGAGGGAGCAGCCCAACCATCCAGTGAGCACCAGGCTTGCATTGGACCCGCACATACCAGCCACACAGGGGGCTTGTCAAAGTGTCCTAAAGCTGCAAAGCCCTCCCTTCACACTGAACCCCACACAGAACAAAGTACACAAGCACACCCAGTAGGTGTTTGTCCTGCTGTGGTCCAAGCCAGCAGGGTCAGAATCAACTAGCACTTGTTAAAAATGCAGTCTCAGGCCGGGCACAGTGGCTCATGCCTGTAATCTCAATATTTTGGGAGACAGAGGCAGGAGGATTCCTTGAGCCCAGGAGTTCAAGACCAGCCTAGGCAACATAGCAGCCTCTTGTCTCTACAAAAAAAATAAAAATAAAAAAATAAGCCAGATGTGGGGTGTATCTGTTATCCCAGCTACTAGGGAGGCTGAAAGGGAAGGAATGCCTGAGCCCAGGCAGTCGAGGCAGTCGAGGCTGCCACTGTACTCCAGCCTAGGTGATAGAGACCCGTCTCAAATAACAACAACAACAACAATGCAGTAAGAGCTTCACACAGACCTGCTTAGTCAGAATCTGAGATTGTTCAGGAATCTGCATTTTAGCAACCTCCTTAGTGATTTTTATCTAGAAAAAAACCCCAAAGCATAATTGCTCTAGGGCTCCCCTGGCTGCCCAGTGTCCTCAACAAAAAGTTAAAACCTCCATGGGAGGACTGCTTGAGGCCAGAAATTTGAGAACAGCCAGGCAATATAGAGCAGCATCTTTCCCAAAAAAGAAAAGAGCCAGGTGCAGTTGTGCACCCCTGTCATCCCAGCTACTCAGGAGGCTGAGGTGGGAGAATCATTTGAGCCCAGGAGTTCGAGGCTGCAGTGAGCTATGATCGTGCCATTGTACTCCAGCCTGGGCAACAGAGCAAGACCCTGACTCTGAAAAAAAGAAAAAAAAACTTCCGTGGGGCAACCAACAGTCCCAGAAGGTTCCAGAGTTGTCTGAACTCCTCAGGGTTTATGTCCCACTTCTCCTGTGTCTCACCCCATGCCAAACACAGCTCTGGGCATATCCAGGTAAAACTAGTATGAACAGAGAGTTTGAAATATTAGTCAGTGAACCAGAGAGGAAGCAGATCCCAGGTGCTGCCTGCACATAGAACCTCCTTGAAGACTCGACCTCCTCCTCGGCAAGCCCCAGGGGCACTGGGTTTGGACTGTTTCCAAGGCTGCCCTGACTCTGTACAAGCCATTTTCTGACACAATCCCACCCCTACCTGTCCCCTCCCCTCACTTAGCACTGAGCCCTACCAAAGACGGGCTGGAAGGGGAAAGGCTGGAGTTTTCGTCAGAAGGAAGAGTACCCCCCTCTTTTAGTGAGAGCCACTTTTTTATATAAATACTTTTGTTCCTGGAGACAGTTTCAGGTCATGCAAAGGATCTGATGGGGGGGGGTGGATCCTAAACAGCCGAGGGGCTATTTTCATGGGTTGGTGGCCTCTAAGAGTCAGGAGTCAGGCTATCTCACCCTGCAGGAAGCTGGGTGCTTCCTGGCCCCATGTGGCCTCCGTGACCCAGCTCCCGGCTGCACAGCCAGCTTCTCAGAATTAGGCCCTGACCAAGTATGTGGACAGCTGCCCACTGTGGTTATTACAAGTTCCCAAAGCCTTCCCCATCTGCTTTCTCAGGAATGGGAGCTATGCCAAGAGGGCCCTGTGGACGTGCCCTGGGCGCCGGGAGGGTGCCCTCGCTCACAGGCGGGTGGCAAGTCCTACTTTCTGGCAACCCAGGAAACCTTTGGCAGGCCCTTAGCCGAGGCCAGTGCATCAAAAGGACTTGGCTCAGGCCCCAGGCTGTCACTAGGCCAGTGGCAGCCATGACCCATTAGACCTCAGTGAGGGTTTCTGGAACTCACGGTCACCAGTTTTCTCCAGACCACAGCTGGACAGTAAGAGCCGCTGGCCTTTTGAATCTGGATATGACCATGGGGGCTCCTGCAGGGCGCTGCATCCAGCATCTGCCCTGGAGCTCAGGAGGGTGCCTCCACTCCCAGGGCCGCAGGGGCGGGCGGCAGCAGGTACAAACAGTGCCCCCCACAACACCAAGTCCTGGTCTAGGCCTGAGAATACCCACTACCACTTCTAGGGTACAGTTCTCTGCAGTCTTCATAGCGGTCTCAGAGGTGATGTTATTCATCCCTCTTCAAGGTGAAGAACGCTCAGCTCAGTGAAGCTAAGTGACTCCCCCACAACACATAGCCAGGAAGTGGCAGGGCCTCAGGTGGAAACTCCACCTGACTGCTTCAAAAGCTGAGCTGTGTCCACAGCACCACACCACATCCCAGGCTTGGCGTGTGCAAGTGGCTGGAGCCCTGACCACAGAACCCCCTGCCCTCTCCCTGCTGCCCCTCCCCAGGCCACAACCGCTCTTTCAACCATCTGCTAGTAGTCATGGCATGACTGCTAGGTGCCAGGCACACTGGGGACATGGCACGTAAGACAGATACAGTCCCTCTCCTCACAGAGCTGGGAGTCTATGTCAAACCACATTCCAAAAAGCCAGTCAGAGACCCCAGAATGAGGGCCGAGCTACCCTGCCCAGAACAGTCATTGAAATGAAAGCAACGTCCCAGCTTGCTGTGCCCACCCCACCTAGTCCCACACTAATCTAGTCTCCAGGTCCTTGTCCACCCTGCCAGGTTCCCAAGGTCTTCCCTCAGCACCTGCTGACCCTGATATCCCTTCCCCTCTCCCAACTGTAGCTGGCTGCTCCCGGTTGGACCTGATCCAGGGGCACTATTTGGGGACTAGATGAACAAACCATATTCTTTTGAATATTTCACCCCACAGGTATGGAGACAGGGCTGGGCAGGTAAGGATCTTTATGGCCCAAAAGAAAAAAGATCCTGTTGCTCACTGCCATATGTAATTCAAAACTTAAGAAAAAAAAAAGTCAAAGGCAGGTATGGTGGCTCACGCCTGTAATACCACCGTTTTGAGGAGCCGAGCCAGGAGGTTCTTCACCTTAAAAAGGGGTTAGTAATTCCTGAAGCCAGGAGCTGGAGACCAGCCTGGACAACATAGCAAGACCCTATCTCTAAAAAAAAAAAATCCTAAAAATTAGCAGGGCAGGGTGGTGCTTGCCTATAGTCCTAGCTACTTGGGAGGCTGAGACAGGAGGATTGCTTGAATCCAGGAATTTGAGGATGCAGTGAGCTATGATCACTTCACTGCACTCAAGCCTGGGCGACAGAGTGAGGTGCGGTCTCAAAAACAAACAACAGCCAAAAACCTGAAATAAAGGGCAATACAGTAAAATTCAGATGTTTCCATGATGACTATCTCAATGCTGTTATTTGAAGTATTAAATTAAAAAAAAAAATAGGATGAGTATGGTGGCTCACACCCATGATCCCAGCATTTTGGGAGGCCGAGGCAGGAGGACTGATTGAGTCCAGGAATTTGAGACCAGCCTGGGCAACAGCAAGACCTTGTCTCTACAAAAAAAAATTTTTTTTAATTAGCCAGCTGTGGTGGTATCTGTAATCCCAGCTACAAAGGAGGCTGAGGCGGAAGGATCCCCTGAACCCGGGAGATGGGGACTGCAATGAGCTGTGATCAGAGCAATGCACTCCAGCCTGGGCATCAGAGTGACACGCTGAAAAAAGTAACTGGTGGCGTCAGCCCGTGAGTGGCCCACCTGTTGGCCAATTCTGTGATGTCAGTTAGACGTGGCCATGGGAATAGCTCGTCCCAGACAAAATGTCTTGTTGGGGAAAGTGCCCGCAGAGGAGGCCGGCCGGGAAGGAGAGGAGACCCGGAGGGACAGAGGTGACCGTGCTGCCTGGGGAGCTCTGTCTGCAGGGCAGGCTGTGCCCTGACTCCAAGCCTCTGCCGAGACGTGGGCGGGCCTCTGCCTCAGCCCCGCCCTCCCCGTCTGGACCCTCGCCCGCCCCCTACCGGTCGTTGACGAAGGAGAACATGAGCAGCCTCTGCTCGATAAACCACTTCCACTCCGGATTCTCGCTCTGCAGGTCCCGGTAGTTGTCGTTGGAGACGATGACGCCGTCCTGCTCGTAGGCCACCTTCACGATGTAGCGGTCGTCGTAGCAGACCAGCCGCTTGCCGTGCACCTTGCGCGACGGCGTGTACACCAGCACTTCCTGCCTCTCCAGGTCTTCTAGCACGTGCTGCTCTGGGATCCGGACAGAGACCACGTGTCAGGGCCCCACACTCCAAGAGCGCGGCCTGGGGTCCCCCTTCCTGAGTCCGTCCCGCCTCCCCACGCCCCGCTCCCAGCCTGGCAGATGAGGGGTGGGAGGAGCTGGGGAGGGGGGGACGCACTTAATGTCACTGAATTTGCCCGCAGCCAGAGGTCAAGAGGTCAGTTGGCCTCATGGCAGGAGTCCAGAGGAGGGCACCAACAGGGGAGAGTCGCTACAGAAGGAAGGTTTCTGCCACAGCTCCTACCCTTTTGAGGGCTCCATGTCACAGTGCCCCGACCACAGACACAAAGGCCTTCTGGAAAAGGACATTCCTATCTTAAGTGAAACCCTGGTAATGCCCTAGCAATGAGGAGGAGCCTTGTGTCCACCTGGAAGGCTCCTGCCTGGGCCCCCAGTTGGTAGCCATGGTCTGTCTTCCCCCACTATACAGAAATCTGCTTGGGACACCTTTGGGGTGAAGCGTCCTATGACTGACAGATCTGAGGGACTCAAGGATACAACAGAAACAGTCTGGGATTAAGAATCTACAGCCTGGATTCTGGACTGAGCTCCAGTTCCTGTTTTCATGTCAGGCTTTACATCTATAAAAGTAGGTTGCTAACACCTCCTATACCTGTCTGAGTGTCTGTGAGTAGACTGAATAAGCTCAGGTGAGTGAGAGTTCTTGCAAACACTTGTAAGGATGGAAACATGTCTCAGGTGGTACAAACTGTACAAGGTCTTATCAGGGACTAAAATCCACATCCCGGGAAGGTCTACTGCTTGATCTTAGTTTTGTCTTTGGAGATGTGTGAAAAAGAAAAAAATCCTTACAATACATAATAGTTACTCAGAACTTAGAAGAGCATTAGCATACTCTCTGTAAATTGTTCCCTTCCTCAAGTTTAAGTCCTTTCCTATATGACATGGTTTCCAGGCTTTTAAAAGGTGCATAGGCACTGTGGTTCATACCCGTTATCCCAGAGTGTTGGAAGACCAAGGTTGGAGGATAGCTTGAGCCCAGGAAGTTGAGACCAATCTGTGCAACATAGTGAAACCTCATCTCTACAAAAAATGTGAAAATTAGCCAGGCACAGGGACGTGTGCCTGTAGTCCCAGCTACTCAGGAGGCAGACGTGGGAGGATCAGTTGAACCCAGAAGACCAGGGCTGCAGTGAGCTGTGACAGAGCAAGACCTTGTTTTTTAAAAAAAGTTCATAATGCATCTATAGTACAAAGAATTTTTTTTTTTTTGAGTTGGAGTCTCACTGTCACCCAGGCTGGAGTGCAGTGGCATGCTCACGTCCACTGCAGCCTTGACCCGCTGTGCTCAGGCGATCCTTCCACCTCAGCATTCCAAGTAACTGGAACTACAGGCATGTGTCACCACACCCAGCAAATTTTTTTCTTTATTGTAGAGATGAGGGCTCGCCAAGTTGTCCAGGCTGGTCTCGAACCCATGGGCTCAGGCAATCTTCTCACCTCGGTCTCCCAAAGTGCTGGATTATAGGCATGAGCCACCGCACCCATCCACAAAGAACAATTTCTTTTTTTTTTTTGAGTTGGAGTTTCACTCTGTCACCCAGACTGGAGTGCAGTGGCCGCTTCCGGCCACCGCAGCCTCGACCTGCTGGGGCTCCAGCGATCCTTCCGCCTCAGCCTTCCAAGTAGCTGGAATTACAGGCATGCGCTACCACGCCCGGCTGATTTTTTGATTTATTGTAGAGATGAGGTCTCGCTGCCCAGGCGGGTCTCGAACCCGCAGGCTCAGGCAATCCACTCACCTCAGCCTCCCAAAGGCGCGGGATTACAGGCTGAGCCACCGAGCCCGGCAAAGAACAATTTCTAAATGCCAACATATGCATCATCCTCTTTGAGAAATGGCAGGTGGCCCATATTTGGAAGTCCCCTCTGCCCCTTGCAGTTTTAGAACTTTGTGTTTATCATTCTCTTGCTTTAAAAAAAACACATATGTATGAGAGTCATTTTCAATGTGGTTACTGCACATTGGACTTTATCCTCATTTATCCTTGAGTGTGTGAGGTCTGGTTATGTCAATGTGTTCATTACTGCTAGTTTTGCATGTAGGTCCAAAGGCCTATAGAATATCTCTAAGAGTGGACACTGCTGATTTGTAGGGAAAGGGACCTCACAAGATAATGCCAAATTGTTTTCCAGCATAGTGATGACATGTCACATACCCAACACAGCATATGAGACTACCTTGCCAACACTTGGCATGTTCAGGCTTTTGAATTTTTGCCAATCTGGTGAGTACAAAGTGGCCTCTTATTGTGGTTTTATTTTGCATTTCTCTGGTTACTAATGAGATTGAGCCTTTTTTCATATGTTTATTGGCCATTGATGCTTTCTCTTCAATGAATGGTTTATTCATACTTTGGCTCATCTTTCTGTTGGTTCATCATCTTTGTCTCATTGACTTGGAGACATTCTTTCTAGATCTAGAAAGTTATCCTTCATCAGTAGTATCTGAAAGACAGACCCCCACAGACTGAGGCTTTCCTTTTCTTTTTCTTTTTTTTTTTTTTTTTTTGTGATGTCCAATAATGAATGGTACTTTTCTTTTTTCTTTCTGTTTTTTTGAGTCAGGGTCTCACTCTGTTGCCCAGGTTGGAGTGCAAGATCTCTATAATAGCTGCAGCCTCAGCCTCCTAGGTTCAAGCAGTCCTTCTGCTTCAGCCTCCCAAGTAGTAGCTCAGACTACAGGCATGCACCACCACTCCTGGCTATTTTTTGTAGACACAAGGACTTGCTATGCTACCCAGGCTGATCTCAAACTTCTGGGCTCAAGCAATCCTCCCACTTTGGCTTCCCAAAGTGCTGGGATGACAGGCATGAGCCATCACACCCAGCTAGAAGCCCTTATTTTAATGTAGTCAAATTTATTCATCTTTCCCCTATAGAATTGCACTTGTGGCTTGTTTAAAAATTCCTTCCCTACCTCAAAACAATTTCCTTACTCTTTGCCAATCTTGTATCTAAATATTACACAACTGTTGAAAAGTGCTGCATGTTCAGACCATAGAGAGTTATTTGGGGTAACTGGTCATGGTGGAGTACTGAACGCAAGTATTTATCCCTCATCCTTCTCATAGTCCCGTTTTAATGACAATAAAGAAGCACAAAAGGGGATCACATTAAAAGTGGGGTGGGAGACAGCCACAGACCCAGGATTCTGACATATTTTAGGAAGGCAGGAGCAAAGAGGATCATATTGATCCTGCAGCGTGGATAGAACTCAGCCCAGAACATAGCAGGGGGCTGGAGTAGAGGTGGGAGCCATTTCCCTGCAAAGCCTCAGACTCCAGTAGAGGCAGTGGAGACAGAGTGGAAGCCAGGCAGAGGCAGGATGATAACTTGCAGGTGAGCCACTCAGGCCAGCTGCCTCCAAGAGCATGGACCTCACTTATTTCCTATCCCAGTCGCCATAAAGAAAGTGCCGGGCTCGGTGGCTCAGTCTGTAATCCCATGCTTTGGGAGGCTGAGATGAGTGGATTGCCTGAGCCCGTGGGTTCGAGACCCGCCTGGGCAACTTTGCGAGACCTCATCTCTACAATAAATCAAAAAATTAGCTGGGCATGGTAGCGTGCGCCTGTAGTTCCAGCTACTTGGAAGGCTGAGGCGGAAGGATCGCTGGAGCCCAGCAGGTCGAGGCTGCAGTGGCCGGGAGCGGCCACGGCACTCCGGCTGGGAGACAGAGTGAGACTCCAACTCAAAAATAAAAAAGTGAAGATACAACCATCAGGAAGGAGGAAGCCTCCCACTGTGACTGTTGACCTCCCAGAATAAAACCATCATCATTTTGGCATAGGAATGTATGGCAGGCCGGTCCCCCTCCCCATAGGTTATAATAGATAATGGGTGCCATGGCTCATGCCTGTAATCCCAGCATTTTGGGAGGCCAAGGCAGGAGCATTGCTTGAGGTCAGGAGTTCAAGACCATCCTGGGCAACATAGCAAGACCTTGTCTCTGCAAATATAAAAATAAAAAGTTAGCCAGGTGTGGTGGCTTTCTTCATGGAGACTGGGATAGGAAATAAGTGAAGTCCATGCTCTTGGAAGCAGCTGGCCTGATTGGCTCACCCGCAAGTTGTCATCCTGCCTCTGCCTGGCTTCCACTCTGTCTCCACTGCCTCCACTGGAGTCTGGAGCTTTGCAGGGAAATGGCTCCCACCTCCACTCCAGCCTCCTGCTATGTTCTGCATGGAGTCCCAGCATCTCAGGAGGCTTAGGCCAGAAGCTCACACGAGCCTGGGAGGTCAAGGCTGCAGTGGCCGTGAGCATGCCACTGCACTCCAGCCTGGGCAACAGAGTGAGATTCCAACTCAAAAAAAAATTTTTTTTGATGTAAAAGCTTATAAAGTAAAAAAGTTGCAGTAAGCTAAGGTTAATTTGTTATTGAAGAAATAAATTTTTTAAATAAATTCATTGTGGCCTGTGTACAGTGTTTATAAAGACTCCAGTAGTAGACAGTATCCTGGGCCTTCACATTCACTTACCGCTCGCTCCCTGACTCACCAGAGCAACGTCTACTCCTGCAAGCTCCATTAATGGTAAGCACTCTACAGGTGTGTCATTTTTTCTCTTTTGTACTGTATTTTTACTGTATATTTTCTATATTTAGGTATGTTTAGATACACAAATACTTACCATTGTGTTACAGTTGTCTATAGTATCCAGGATAGTAACATGCTGTCCAGGTATGTAGCCTAGGGACAACAGGCTATACCACATAGCCTAGGTGTACAGGGGGTTGGTTGGTGTCAGTACACTCTATGATGCTTGCACCATGACAAGATCACCCAATGATGCATTTCTCAGACTGTATCCCCATCGCTAAGTGATGCCTGACTGTATATTTAACCAATCTAGTTCTTCGTTTACAATAAAAACTGAAAATGATCACCATACTTTTGAGAGGAAAATCTATCAGAAAGAGACAGAGACCAAGATGAACAAAGAGAATTGAGTCCAAAAAATAGGTAAAATGTGTAGAAATTAAGAGAATTTTTTTAAAAGTCCAGTTTAGTATAGAAATGTTCAAGAAAGTGCCATATCCATGAAACAAGAATAGCATGTTGACCAGGCAAGGTGGCTCATGCCTATAATCCCAGCACTTTGGGAGGTTGAAGTGGGAGAATTGCTGAGTCTAGGAGTTCAAGACCAGCCTAGGCAACATCTCTACAAAAACATTAATAATACTCAAAAAATAATTCAAGCATGGTGGTGTGCACCTGTAGTCCCAGTTACTCAGGAGGCTGAGGCAGAAGGATCACCTGAGCCCAGGAGGTCAAGGCTGCAGTAAACTGTAATCATGCCACTGCACTCCAGCCTGGGCAACAGAGTAAGAACCCAACTCAAAAAAAAAAGAATAGCATGTAGTAACAGAGAGAAAAGAAGAAGTAATTGGTAACCCATGTTAGAATTAAAAGCAAAAACAAAACCTTTAAAAGGCTGGAAGAAGTCAAGGAAACCTCTCAGAATCACCAAGATAATCCCAGCAAAAACTTAGCATCTGACCTCTTCTTATAGGTGAAACATACTTAATCCAAAAAGCTTCAAAATTCAAGACTTTTTGAGCATAACATGACACTTCATGGGAGTAGTTCAGACTTTGGATATTTGGATTAAGGATGCTCAGTCAGAAAGTATAATGCAAACATTCCAGAATTTGAAATAACCTAAATCCAAAGCACTTCTGGTTCCAAGCATTTTGGATAAAGGATACTCAATCTGTATAAGAAAGTCAAACAGAAACCTGTTTATTTAAATGAGAGGGTTCTAATAGTTGTAGCTTAAAATGTTCCCAGCTAATTTAAGAATTAAAAAAAAAAAATTAAAAATTCCCTGGATCTCTGTCCTTCTTTTTTTTTTTTTCCCCCTCACTCTGTCACCCAGTCTAGAGTGCAGTGGCATGTTCATGACTATTACAGCCTCCACCTGCAGGGCTCAGGCAACCCTTCCTCCTCAGTCTTTCAAATAGCTGGAACTACAGATATATGCCACCACACCAAACTAATTTTTATTTATTTATTGTAGAGACGAGGTCTCACTAAATTGCCCTAATTGATAACCCAGGGGCTCAGGCAATCCTTTTTTTTTAAATGAAAAGATTGGACTAGGTATTCAATAAATAAATATGACCTAATTAAATAAATGTCTCATTCAAATCCCATATACTAGAATAAAGATCCAATCTTCCTTTAGGTGTTAAAATTTGTCAGACACAATTATTCTTGTTCATCATTCATACTAAAAGCTAGAGTAATTTATTCATTCATCTACTCAACTATTTATTGGACACCTACTATATGCAAGGTTTTTTTGTTTTTGCTTTTATTTTTGTTTTGAGGTGGAGTCTCACTCTGTTGCCTAGGCTGGAGTGCAGTGGCACACTCATGGCTGTTGCAGCCTCAACCTGCTGGTCTCAGGTGATGCTTCCACCTCAACCTTCCAAGTAGCTGGAACTATAGGCACGTGCCACCATGCCTGGCTAATTTTGTTTTGATTTATTGTAGGGATGAGGTCTAGTGAAGTTGCTCGGGTTGGTCTCAAACCTGTGGGTTCAGGCAATCCTCTTACCTTGGCCTACCAAAGTGCTGGGATTATAGGCGTGAGCCATAGCACCCGGTCTATATGCCAGGTATTAAGCTAGGTGCTAGGACCATTGCAGTGAACATTCATCATCAGTTCCCTCATGGAGTGCACAGTGCCGTAAAAAAGACAGATATCATCAAATTGAAAACTAAGTAGATAATTGGCTAGTGTTGTAAGGAGTACTATCAAGGCAAAGTGCATAGCACTTCTTGAGCATCCATCTGCCCCAGTGTACCTCTGATCGGAGTATCAGATCTTGGTGGTTCTCTCCTCCAGGATGGGACAAAAACCTTGATGTAGGTGTGTCCTCTGTCCCTGAACCAGTCCACAGCCAGCTGGATTCCCCGGCAAGAGAAGATTTCTTTATTTCCATGGCTACAATGGGAAAACAGAGAAATGTGTAGAGACTCAGAAAGCATTCCTAAGAATGATTTCCCCAGGGACTATCCTAGATCACAGTAACACAGTCAAGACAGGACCAGATATATCTACATTTTAAAGACAGTTCTGAGCTGGGCACAGTGACTCTCGTCTGTAATCTCAGCAAATCAGGAGGCTGAGGCAGGAGAATTGCTTGTGCCCAAGAGTTCAAGATCAGCATGAGAAAAAAAATTTTTTAGAGACCCTATCTCAAAAATAAATTTTAAAAAATAACTGGGCATAATGCCATGCGCCTGTAGTCCCAGCTACTTGGGAGGCCAAGGCAGGAGAATTGCTTGGGCCCAGAAGATCAAGCTGCAGTGAGCTATGATTATGCCACTGCACTCCAGCCTGGGTGACAGAGTGAGACTCTGACTTAAAAAACAAAACAAAACAAAAAAAGATTCTGGTTTGTATAAGGGGAGGGTGGTCTAGTCGCTGATGCAGGGCATTCTGGAAAGGAGTTAGGTTTAGAGGGAAGGATCACCAGTTTGGTTTTGGATACCTATTGAGCTGTTTGCCTAACATTTCCATTCCAAGGAAGTGTCGGGTAAGCAGCTAGGGTTCAGAGGACAGGACTGAGTGACAGAAGCTGAAGGTCATCTCTGTCTCAGCAATGACTGAAGCCAAAGCGTAGACAGAACAATCTAGTTACCTGGAGAGAAAGTGAGTGGCCTAGGGCTGGGCCTGCAGGAACTCTGGGATGAAATAGCTGGTTACAGGGGGGAGAGGGCAATTTTACACAGAAGACAGAAGGAGATCAATCGTGGTTTTCTGGAAGATTTAAAAAAAAACCAGCGAGTGCTGCATCATAAAAGCCGTGGGAAGGAGGCAGCCAAACACTGCTCGAGGGACAGATGGGTGACACCTAAAGACACCCCCATAGACTTAGTCAACAGGGTCCATGGGGTTTTGCTAGAGAGAGACAAGTAGATAGACAGGAGATATTGAGAAGACAAAATCAACTGGACTTGTTCACGAATGGAACAGAGCCCAGCCTCAAATGAGAGCCCTCTTTCCTCACTGCTTCTACCCTACCCATTGGGCATCCTTCAGCCCTTCATACCAGTATGCACCTGCCTCCTTGCACCACAGGGCCTTTGCACCAACTATTCCTTCCCTCTTGGTCTAGACATGAGATCTTGTCAAGTTGCCCAGGCTCTTCTTGAACCCACAGGCTCAGGCAATCTCCTCACCTCAACCTCCCAAAGAGCTGGGATTATGGATTACAGGCATGAGCCACCGTGCCCGGCCTCAACTCAGTTTCTTTATTTTCTTTTTCTTTATTTTTTGAGTTGGAGTCTCACTCTGTCACCCATGCCCATATTTATTTTATTTGTTTTAAGAGATAGGATCTTGGTCTGTCACCCAGGCTGGAGAGCAGTGGAACAATCATAGCTCATTGTAACTTCAGACTCCTGGTCTCAAACTGTCTTCCCACTTCGGTCTCCCAAAGCACTAAGATTACAGGCATGAGCCTCCACTCTGTTTACACACTGACCCTTCTCACCAGGAGATCTCTCCCCAGCTCAAGCCATGGGGGAAAGAGGGTGAGCAGGGGCTGCTTTGGGTGTCTCCATCTTACACGAGGAGAAATGGGTGCAGACAGGTAGAAGACAAGGCTAAAATCAGACACAGCAGATTCAGGGGCTCAGAAGCAGGCCTGACCCCTACCCCAGTAGTAAACCCCCACCGGTCACTTTCCTGCCTACTCATAGCACACTGAGAGAAACAGGATGAAAAGAGGCATGATTTCAAGCCCAAACTCTCTCTTCCCTGGAACATTCTTACTCCAGGATAGCTGAAGTCTGCTGAGTGTACTAGGAGTTTAAAAATGTAAAACAAGGTTGAGTGCAGTGGCTGATGCCTGTAATCCCAGCACTTTGGGAGGCCAAGGCAGGAGGATTGCTTGAGGCCAGGAGTTCAAGACCAGCCTGGGCAACATAGTGAGACACCACCTCTACAAAATTTAAATTTTATTTTATTTTATTTAATTAATTAATTTATTTTTTTGATTTGGAGTCTCACTCTGTCGCCCAGACTGGAGTGCAGTGGCGGCTCCTGGCCACCGCAACCTCGACCTGCCGGGCTCCGGCGATCCTTCCGCCTCAGCCTTCCAAGTAGCCGTCATTACAGACGCGCGCTACCACGCCCAGCTAATTTTTTGACTTATTGTAGAGATGAGGTCTCGCCTGCCCAGGCAGGTCTCGAACCCGCGGGCTCAGGCAATCCACTCACCTCAGCCTCCCAAAGGCGTGGGATTACAGGCTGAGCCACCGAGCCCGGCCCAAAATTAAAATTTTAAATAAATGTCAACAACAACCCAAACAAAAAGTCCTGTACACTTCAAAATGAGGACACATTCAAGAGAAAACTCCTCTGGGGCAGTAAGAGGATGTGAAATTATCAGGTGGTTTCCCCCATCCCATATTTCCAATCCCGCCTTTTTGAGATTTGCCTAGAGAATGTAAAACCGGCAAGCACTCGTGAGTCTGCCCGCCCTGCAGGGAAATGCTGCAGTGGGTGGCTGGTGAGAACCCGTGTTCCTCCCAGACACCGTGATGCAGCTTTTAACACACTTTTGGTGAAAACTGCCTTTTCTAGTTTTTCCTCATCTTTTAATTTTATATTCTAATATCAAAGTAAATATTATTTTATTTTATTTTATTTTATTTTAGATTGAAGGGGTGCCTATGTGAGCTTGTCACATAGGACTATTGCGTGATGGTGAGCTTTGGGCTTTTTAAAATATATATTTAGGAGAGACGAAGTCTTGTTATGTTGCCCAGGCTGGTCTCCAATTCCTGGGCTCAAGCAGTCCTCCTGCCTTGGCTTCCCAAAGTGCTGGGATTACAGGCATGAGCCACCACACCTGGCCTTAGGTTTGGATTTCTGATGAGCCCACGCCCGGAGTGGTGAGCACACTACCCCATGAGTGGTTTTCACCCTTACCCCTCCTCCCTCCCTCCCCACTTTAGCAGTCCCCAATGTCTGTTGTTAAATCCTTGTGCCCATATGTGTCCAGCACTAAGCTCCCAGTTATGCGAGAGAACACGCAGTATTCAGTTTTCTGTTTCTGTGATAATTCGCTTCATGTGATGCTGTCTTCTTTTTTAAAAGTTGCTGGACAGGTTGGGCATGGTGGATCATCCCTGTAATCCCAGTACTTTGGGAGGCTGAGGTGGGAGGATCGCTTGAGCCGAGGAGTTTGAGACCAGCTTGGGCAATGGAGAAAGACCCCATCTCTACCAAAAAAAAAAAAATAGCTGCATGCCTGTAGTCCCAGCTACTTAGGAGACTAAGGTGCAAAGATCACCTGCACCCAGGAGGTAGAGGCTTGGTGAGCCGTGATCATGCCACTGCACTCCAGTGTGGATGGCAGAGTGACTCAAAAAAAAAAAAGGTATTCAGCTGAGTGACCCAAGCTAATAATTCTCTCTCTCTCTCATAAACACACACACACCCTACCTTGAAGGTCTGGGGACTGGACTTCGAAATTGGCCTCTAGGTTGCTACTTGATCAGAACTACCATTCAAAACACACATGACACCCTGAGGGGCCCCAGCGCTGACAGTAGGAGTAGGTCCTGGGGGCCAGCCCTGCAGAGGGACCCTGTGAAGGGGCAGGGGCGTCACATGTCCTGCCTGCAGACGGCAAGTCCCGGGCCTCTCCCGCTTGGGAGGACCCTGGTCAGCACAGGTGGTAGGCTCTGGCTGCAGACATATGCCTAAGGGGTCAGGGTCCCCTACCTTGCGGCCCTTTCCAAGGCTGGATGGGAGGAACCGAAGGAACTGCCAGGGGTAACACAAGGCCTCAGAAGGAGCACTGGATCCAGAGCTGGCACTTAGTGCTCTGTGACCTCGAACGAGTTACTTACTCTCTCTGAACCTCTGAAGAAGAAGAGAAATTCCTTTATAAGAAGAATGTATTTATTTCTTTTAAGCATATATAAAATAACTACCTTCAGTCTACCCATGTTAGAGATGAAAAAGCCATTTAAGATGATTTTGTCCAACTTCTTAACTGTGTAAGGTTAAAAAACTCAGGTGACTCACTGGAGGCCACACAGCTGGTAGGCTGAAAAGCAAAAGCGTCAGCCTGGGCAACACAGTGAGACCCCAAAAAACAGTTTTTTAAAAACATCAGCCAGCCATGGTTGTGTACATCTGTAATCCCAGCTGCTAGGGAAGCTGAGGTGAGAGGATTGCTTAAGCCCAGGAGTTCGAGGCTGCAGTGAGCTATGATTGTGCTACTGCACTCCAGCCTGGGGAACAGAGTGGGACCCTGTGGAAAGAGAGAAAGGGAGGATAGAGGGAGAGAGAGGAAGGGGGGGCAGGTGAGAGAGAGATAGAAAAGGAAGGAAGGGAGGGAGAGAGGAAGGAAATGGCCAGGTACAATGGCTCACATCTGTCATCCCAACACCTTGGGAGGCTGAGGCAGGAGGATTGCTTGAGACCAGGAATTCAAGACCAGCCCGGGCAACATAGCCAGACTTTGGACTTTGTATCAAGGAAGGAAGGAAGGAAGGAAGGGAGGGAGGGCAAAGTGAAAGTCCAGTCTAATCTGTAGCCACTCACCACATCTGACTATTCACATTTAAATTCAAATTAGTTAAAAAATAAAATAAAATAAGGCCGGGCTCAGTGACTGAGCCTGTAATCCCAGCACTTTGGGAGACCAAGGCGAGTGGATTGCCTGAACCCTCAGGTTTGAGACCAGCCCGGGCAACTTGGTGAGACCCCATCTCTACAATAAATCAAAAAAAAAAAAAAAAATTAGCCAGGCGTTGTAGCACATGCCTGTAGTTCCAGCTACTTGGAAGGCTGAGGTGGAAGGATCACCGGAACCCAGCATCAACGCTGGGGTGGCCATGAGTGTGCCACTGCACTCCAACCTGGGCGACAGAGTGAGACTCCAACTCAAAAAAATAATAATAATAATAAATAAATTAAAT